CCAGCTTGGCCTGGCGCGCTCCTGCCAGCCCTGCCTGGCATTCCCTTGCCAGCCCTTGCTGGGGACTCCCTTGCCAGCCCTGCTGGGGACTCTCCTGCCGGCTCGGGCAGGCGCTCCCTCGCCTGGCACTCCCTTGCCATCCTCTCCTGGTGCGCGCCCGCCAGAACTGCATGGGGCGCGCTCGCCAGCCCCGCCCGGCGCCTCCGGGCGGCCTTTGCCCAACTCCTTGCTAGTTGGGCCTGAATTAGGCTGGCCCAAGGCCTGACCTAATTGTCCCCTATATAATGAATAGTACCTCCTCCATGGAGGAGGACCCCTTCCCTAGATCTTCCCCCATGGCTCAACCGCCACCCGTCGCCGTCAGCCACCAGCACCAAGATGGTCCTCTCCAGCTAAGGAGAACCATCTCAGATCTTCTAGCTGATCTAACTTGACCGTCGGAGTCCGCTCCCGGGGCACAGTCCCTGGGACGGCTCTAACGCGTCTCTCTAATTGTGATGTCAGATCTCCGCCGCAGCAGAAGACCAGAAGACTCGCCGGAGACTAATGTTCTATCACTTGTACATGTCAGTATATGCTAGTTATGTACATGGTTATTTGCTTAATGGTTGGGTTGAGGCGGTCCTGCTTTGTGCTGAAGACCAACATACCGTATGAGCGGTCTGGGGTGACTGTAGGTCCACGTGGCGGTCCAGTCATGCCGAAGGCTCGGTATAGATTCAGTTAGACTGCAGGGCCTGTAGGGCGGTCCAGTCAGGCCGATGGCCCAGTATGCATGATGTTGATTGATCTGTTGTTGATATGGTATCTCAGTGTGGTATCGATATTTTGGGGGTAGCTCACTAAGCTATCGGGCTTACAGTTTTCAGTTTATTGTTTTAGGTACTTCAGGAGATCGTGGGAAGGCGAAGGCGTGACCGGACCGCTCCTCATCCTTATGATCTGTTTTGAGACACTCTGATGGATATTGATTTGAAATGTTTTTGTAAAACAATTATACTTTGGTTTCTTTTGTCGATTTCAAAAGTTTAAATTTGGCGTAAAATTTATAGGTCTTACATGAGGACGAAGCTTGAGGTTGAAGACGAGTACAACAGCAAACGATGTTTCTGTTTCTTTTCTTCTTGGAACTTCAATGCTGCATCACAAAAGAAGAAAGAAGACATATCAATTTATTGCAAGAAAAGGAGGGTGCGATTTTTTTGATTGAGTATCCCACATCACCGGTGGGATAAAACACAAGAGGGAAAACATTTTTATAAAAGCGTAGCTCCCTCTTTTGAAAACCAAACTCGATTAAGTTTTAGGCTAGTCGACTCCTTTGAGCCGTTGGGTCCATTAAATTTAAATGGTCCGATTTTGTCCGATTTGGACCGAATTGGTATGGTTTTGACCGATATTGATCAAGGCGGATTAGTTAACCCTCTAACACCTATTCATAGACGGTTAGAGGTCGTCTAGCGCCTAGGTCGATTTTTACAACCATGCTTATTTACTATAATATAGATCATTTATATAATTATATTTTAAACTATTACAAAAGTGGTTACTTTTATAATTTTACTATTGTATAAGGACTATTTCCGTAATTTTACATTTCCTGTTATTATATATGCACCATTTCTAAAATTTTACAATTATACAAGAGCTATTTTGTTATTTTACATATTAAAAACATAGGGATCATTCCTTAAATATTTGCATTTTGTCTACATATGGACAAGTTCTATGTATTTACTGTTACATAAGGACCATTTCTATTAAAGATTTTAACAAAATTTTACAAATGATCCTTATGGTCTTGATTTTATCCCCAAAAAGTCATTATAAAACCTTTTTTTTTTTTTTTTTTTTGCATGAATTGTCTCTTTCAAAATTTTGCACTCCAATCACCCTGATGGATGTTTGTTAAATGGAGTCGTTAAGTTGAAGAGATTTTGGATAAGGACCATTTTTAATATTTTGTGAAATTTCACCTGAAAATCATTTTTGAAATTTAAAACAAGTTTATTAAATCATATATTAATTATCATAAATCAAATAAAAAACAAACGTTACAAATGCTTGTCTTCAACCTTCAAAGCTTCCCCTTCTTAAAAATTATAATTGTTGTTGGAGGCAAAACTCTAATTATATAAATATATAAAAAGAAGGTTCCAATTCAACAGTTGATTGGACCATTTCTTTAATTTTTTTCTTCAACAAACGTATTAGATACTGTTCATTGTGGACACCCGTCGTCTACTTTTTTAGCACCGGCGTCATCGTCCAATAGATACATACCACTGCATCTTCAGTAGCAGTTTATCTGGATGCCACCGCCTCTCCAAACCTCTCTCTGTAAACACATCCACATCCAAGAAAATCAGTCCTCCACCCACTAATCGCATTCTCCTAGACCACAGCTATCTTCTTCCAATCGATTTCCGACATTTGCTTTGTTCCTGGCCTAACCATCTGTCTTCCCCTTCTTTCTCATCAAAACCGTTTCCCCCCAGTTAATTCCACCATGGGTTCCCTGTCTGCTCCACCCACTCTGTAGCCCGATGCGTTCCCTCCGCTGCTCGCCGCTGTACGCCCCCATGTTTTTTCATAAATCGTAGATTTCACATGGTCCAGGTTCGATTTTTTTTTTTTTCATTCTATGCTCAATTTGGCCTTTGTGTCCTTCTAAAACTTTGTACGTCGATTTCTAGGTTTTTTGCAGATCTGAATCCTGTTCTCCGGTGAAGTAACAGAATTGTTCCATCGTCTTCTACGCCAATACGTCTTTTCTATACTCTATTTTCTCGATTTTCTGGCTATGGTTTTCCGGTCATCGTTCCTTTTCTCAACAATCTGGATTCAGAAATGAACTTGGAATTGAAGCATGGTAGTGGAAGTTGTTATAGGGTTTTCTTTCATCAGAGGTTGATTCGGTATAAGTAATAGAAGTCGGAAAGAATTTTAGGATGATTCTTTACTACTACCTATATTATTTGCTAAATATTATTATATTCCACTTATGCTTGAAATTTTTTGATTTTATCTTCCAATTTTTGGCAGGAAGGAAGTGATAATGATCAAGAGAGCAATGATTTTCCTAAACCACTTCAGGAGGCTAAAAAACGCAGGTATGATGGGCTTAGGGTTAAATGTTGAAACGTTTTGCCGCCAGGTGTTTGTTAGAAGTTTTCAGTCAACTTTTAAAGTTTATATGTTCTATCATCTATTTCTTTCTGACTGAAAGTGATGATTCACTGGGATTGGGACTTGGGTTCTCTTCCAGATGATGGCAGGATAGGAAGATAATATTAATCACTGTTTGAGTTGTGGATGTATCACCGACAATCGCAATCTACACCGGTAAAACTTTAATAAGCATATTAATAGATATACAAGTTCAGTTTTTGCCCTAAAAATCGGATTGGTGATTACGCAATTTCATTAAACCCCAAAAACAGCTAATTGATGGTTATAATAGTTAGACTTCTACCTGTTGATAATGTTTCATAGAATGTCAGTTAAAGGTGTGTATTATGTTTGTAGTTTTAAGTAAACTTATTTTGTGCCCATCTCGATATTTAATTTAACTTTGCTCTTGGTTCGTTGTTTCAGGGAAAACGATTAACCTATACTCCTCCACACCACCTTTGTTCTGCTTATGTTTTATTCTCAGTAGGTGGGGGGACAAGTAGTCATATATGTATGCATTTTATGTTGAGACTTCAGATTGTTACTTCCGAATATAGGATACAAGTCATAAGCTTTCTTTGTTCTTATGTTTTCACCTCAATTTCGTGAATTTACAGACAACAATATGGGATATGATTTGATGGTCTTGGAGAAGTGTCTGGTAACTCATGTAATCATGTATGATTTATGTTCTTAGTGTACTTGAGTAGTGTGCTGTGGTGTATAGTAACACTTATTATAAAAAGTTAAACCAAGTACTTTAACAGTTCAACAACATACTTTACAAGGGATATCCTTCAACCCCCCCAACAGGGGGATTCTTCTCTAGTTTGTATATTATTAACTTTATGTTTATATTACAAAGTGGATCCTTTTTTTTTTTTGGACAAATGTTTGTTATATTCCAATATTTTGCTACTTTTACGAAAGGAATTATCATTCATTGTCTTTTTTTTTTTATTATTTTATTTTATTTTATTATTATTTTTTTTTACTGTATAGGTGGATCTTGAAGAAGATGCCACACATAACATCAATACAAAGATTACATCCTCATCAACTTATAATGAAGTTATGTCTTAAAAATTTGATGGAAATCAAGAAAAGATAGTGGAATTAAAGCTTCAATTAATGATTTTCCATATTCCAGAGGTGAAATGACGGAGCTAACAGGGGGTGCCTGATGCTTTGCCCCCCTCAACTTCTTTTAAACCTTTAGCCCATAAGTAATTTTTATCCGAAATCGTTTATGTAATAATGTTTAGCCCCTTCCATGTATTTTAAGAAAAACAATTATTGTATAGAAAACAAGGGGTATAAGATCGACAACAAAATTTGAGCCATGATTTGACTTAAAAATACGCCGCCTCTTCCCATTTTTTTCCCTCCACCCTCTATTTTTTTTACTTTAATCAACTTAATACCCTTATTTATGTCAAATACCCACAATTGTTAATAAATAACTTTTGTTAATCGATGAATCACCAAGATAAATTCCATAGTTATTTTTATTCATTTTAACTATGTTTATTTTCAATTAAAAATTATTTCGGGCTACATTGTTATATTTACACGATTTTAATTCTTTAATCAATAAATATTAGTTAATGTTTATAATCGTTATGAAACTTTTTAAAATTGATATTAATTGATGAGTATGAATCAATGTTTATGGTCTTCCGAAAACTTTTTAATATTAATTTCTTATATAGATTGATGTAGCGTGTACTATGGATGATTTTTTCTTTTAAAATTTTAGACTCTACATCATTTGGGTATAACATTATATTTTAATATATTAAAATTACAACGCAAAGCTGTTAGCCCTTTTTATTCTTAAATCCTGGCTCCGCCCCTACAGCAGAGGTGGTCAATCCCAAAAACGTGACACTGATTACAAATGTTTCAATTAATTGAAACATTTGCAATTGATGGACAAACTAAGCCTCGAGTAGTTGACCATTCCCAAACGGTGTCTGAAGTTGTAAAATTCCTTTAAACCATCAACAATGTTGGTTGGTTGCAACATTCTATTCTATAATTGTTGAGCACCCTTTTGATATTACCTTTTTAACCTTTTTTCTAAAGTTCTAACTTCCTAAAAAGCATCATCTTTTAACCTTTTTTCTAAAGTTCTAACTTCCTAAAAAGCATCATCAAACATGTCTCCCTTTCTCCGACTTCAACGTCACTAGAAGTGCTAACATTACTAATGGATTATTAGGCTTAATGACTTGTACCCCGTCCTCTGAATCAACTAGTTTCCCATTTTCTTCATCCACAACTTCATCTACATCGTTTTCTAGCCCAATTTCTCTATTTCATTCCTTTTATTCTTGAACTCCATTGCAGGTTTGCATCGCTAGTCAGTGTCATCTGAATGAAAAGAAAGAATTATCTTCAAAAGGTCGGTCCGCCTTCCAAGTGTTTGATGAAATGTCTGAAAGAAGTGAATACTGATTGCTAAGAATAAATTTGTTTCCTGTGTTTGATCTTGATTTCTAATTCTTCATCTTTCTTCTGACCTTACTATATGATCTCGTTTTGAGTAATTGATCACAAAATGTTATGTCCAACTACATATCAGTCTTCTGCTGTGGTCCCATTGATACCATTTGAGAACATCTTTTTCAAAATACTTTATCACAACCTCCTAACTTTCATCACTGGACAATCGATTTAGGGAAAAAATTTGGTTTTGGTTCTTGAATTGCCCTCTGTTTCTTGATCTTTATCCATCTTCAAATGTTAATCTATTTATTTTATTTGATTCTTCTTGAAATAGCACAACTGACATATTTTCTTCTTCCAGGTACCCCATATTTTGTTCTTGCTGATAATTTTTTAAGAGATGAAGGTTTTGTTTCACTCTTTTAGGATTTGTTCCTTTTTTCATCTTCTTCCTAAACATCAGCTGACTAAAGAAACTTGGATGCACTGCTCTTAGTTATATCAAAATATGTATTATTTTTTGTTTAAGAGGCTTATAAGGTAAAGCTGACTAAAAAAATTACTTAACAAGTGACATTAATAGCAAAAGATGAAGATGAAAGTACATACATGGGGTAGTGTTCTGTGGCCTGTGTGTATGTGTGTGTTTTAATTAGGGAAAAAAAATTGTTTTTAATAAGAAAACATGCTTCAAAAAGAAAACATGAAACCAAGATGCTAAAATAAAGTCAATGGAAGTACATGCTATTTCCAGCATATTCTCTTTGACTTTGAACTATGTTTTAAATTTAAAATGCATGGTACCTTTGAACAAAACAAAAAAAAAAGGTTTAATTGTAAAGGATAAAATAAAAAGGTTGGATTTTAACATAGACATTTATGTTGTGATCGTTTGAGGGGTGACAATTAACTTTTGTCCAACCAGAGTTTAACCAACTCATCTTCAAAAGGCAATATAACATACTCACTGCAAATTCATTTCTGGACTTCAGACATACACTTAAGTAGGTTTATTCTCACTACTGGAAAACAGGTAATACAATACACCCTCATCTAATACGGTTGTAATGAAAACCGTATTATAAAAGGCTAAATTAATTTAATACACACAAATGAAGAAATCTAATACGGTTAATTAGGTGTACTAGATAATATTTCCAATTAAAATTTGTATTTTTACAATTATTAACAAACTTTAGCCTTTGCATCGACCAAAATGTTTAACAAAACACTGGATGTTCATTTGACGTAACGTCAAAATTGAATTGACCGTTCATTTGTATTTTTCCCATTTTGCCTCTGTAGATCGCCTTCACTCTTTTCTGGTCAAGCGGCTTACTTATCAAAGCATCAATGAAGGACAACATCAACTGCAAAATTGATCACTCTTTCTCGCTCTCTCTCACACAAACACACTCTCGATCGATCAATCGATCGACATACTCCGTCGCCTCTCTTCACTGGCGAGCACCTCTTCAAAACTCATCGTCAATCCAGCTAATTCAGTGTCTCTTCATTGCCGATTCAAAATTGGTTTTAGATTTAAAATTGAACAACCAGGTATTCTTTCTAATCAGTTGTTTAATTAATGTCACAATACATTAGCAATTGATAGAGTTAATTTCGTGTTCAAACTGTTCATTCTATTGCATATTTAGTCATTTGATTTCCGTTTATTGGAGTACATTGAGAACTGTATATGCATGAAACTTACGTTTCTTTATCTGGTTCGTTCTTTGCAGCTCAAGTTCCTCACCCTCATCTCCAGCCTTCATCGGAGAACCTTCCGTAACTATTTCCCATGGCGTCTGCTTCATCTCTGCACGTTTCAATAACGATTCCGATCTCCTCAGCTTCAGATCCCCTCTCCTTTAGCAACATTTCTTGTAACATCCCGAAAATTCAGAAGTATAGTTGAAGGGCTAAAGTGTAAATAAGGTCGACTCGGCGAGTCAATGGGTAGACTCGGCGAGTCGAGTCGCGATTTGGTCATGTGCTAAGTGACTGACTCAGCGAGTCGGCGGCTAGACTCGGCGAGTCAGTGCTGGAATGAGAAAACCCTAATCCAGGGAGTTGTGCCCTATATAAAGAACAAGTTGTGCCCTATATAAAGAACATAACACTTCTTCCCCAACCTCTTTACCTTCCCTTTGAGTTCTAGAAACCCTAGATTCGTGTGAGCTTTCCTTGGTGAGAGATTAGAGCCTTGGAGGAGGGAATATTGGAAGGAAATTGAAGAGCAAGAAGATTGGAGCAAGGGGCTTTGCAGAGATTTGGTTCATTCTTCAGTTGGAGCTTTCTTTTGAGGTAATAATCTATTGCTTAATCTCCTTGATCCTTTGTTGCTTGAGTTTTGGGGCATTTCTAGAGTTAGTTCGGGTTTGAAGGTTGGATCTGAGGTTGCTACCTCAGATTTGGACTTGAGATGGTCCAGAAGATCATAAAGTTCCTGTTCTTGAGTTGTAAGTGAGGCTTCCTTGTCCCAAACCCTAGCCTAGAGTGTATATGGCTTAAATCTCTTTGGATTCACGTAAAGTTTGTCACTTTACGTGATGGGTGGCTTGTAGGAGAGTAGATCTATGGATTGGAGCCCCTGCATGGCTTGGAAAGCCACCGTATGGATTAAGAACTAGAGGTACTCGGCGAGTCACATGGGTGAACTCGGCGAGTTGGATGAAAATGAGCAGGAACTCGACGAGTTGGAAGAACAACTCGGCGAGTGTGTTGAATGTTGCCTTGGACTCGGCAAGTCTGTTCGTGGAGTCCTAACCTTTTTGGGTTGAGCTGTGAATCAGTGAGTCAATGGACGACTCGATGAGTTGAGTGAGAAAGGACTCAGAGTTGTTGGATTCGGCGAGTCTTGGGGCGACTCGGCGAGTTGAGTCGTGGATTGGGAGTTCTGAGTATAGGGACTCGACGAGTCAGCGGGTTGACTCGGCGAGTAGAGTCAGTCAGGAAGGTTGACTTTGACTGAGGACTTTGACTTTGACCAAGAGTTGACCGGTTGACTTCCAGGAGTATTTTTGGTAATTGTTGGCAATTATTTTGAGTTTAGTGATTTGGTGTTGGCTAGTGGTGGAGATCGTGTCAGTGGTCGGAACAGCTTGGTCTTATCTTTTCAGTCGGCAGTTGCAGGTGAGTTATCCTCACTATATTAACAGGGTCTACGACACGAAGGCCGACCCTCTATCGGATGGAAATTCGGGTATTGTTGTTATGTTATTGTTTTGCTATGTTTGCATCCTGGTAGTTAGGATGGTATACATTAGAGACCTGGTTAAGGTCGGTATCCTGATAGTTAGGATGGTATATGTGTGACCGGAAGGTCTTATGTGCTAATAGAGTATGAGATATATGCTGATAGATGTTATGAGAGTTGTATGTCTTAAGTTATGTTATGAGCAGTATGCTATGGACCGGAAGGTCACCATGTTATATGCGGTTATATGATATGTATGTGCTGTGTATGTCATGTATGATAAGGACCGGAAGGTTTATATGATATGGACCGGAAGGTCAACAGAGTATGGACCGGAAGGTCAACAGAGGTATGGGATGGAAATCCTCTGAGACATTCGGATCGGAAGATCCCATGGAGTCATGGCCTGGAAGGGCATATGTGTTGTTATGGCCTGGAAGGGCGTATATGTTGTTATGGCCTGGAAAGGCGTATGTGATGTATGTAGTATTTTGGGGGTAATTCACTAAGCTTTCGGGCTTACAGTTGTGGTTTAATGTTTCAGGTACTTCAGGAGACCGTGGCAAGGCAAAGGCGTGATCGTACCGTTCCTCGTGTTTATGTTTTATGATATGGATCTGAGAAAAATACTCTGATAATAAAAGTATTGAAAGCCTTTTTGTAATAAATTAATGAAAGTGAGTTGTTTTTGAAAAGTTTAAATTGGTTTGAATTTTACAAGTTGGTATGAGAGCCTTGGTTTGAGTGAATTGGAAGAACATTCGTGTGAATCCATTCACAAATCAAGGAGAGTTTTCGAAAGAGAATTTAAAATGGTTTCAATAATGAATAAAGGAGGACACGGAGGTACAATCAGCCGGAGCCAGTAAGTCAACTCGAAAATACCATACAAAGTTATTTGATTATGTGATATGTTAGAACAACATGCTAGTACTAGGCTAGGATCTTCAGGAATTGCATGATAGACTTGCCTGATTCATGATGCCTGCTAGTCTAGGGTTTCTGCTATGAGAGATAGTTATCAGTTCCTCTAGAGGTGAGGATGGAGTGCTTGCCATGTATGTGTTTTATCGCTAGGGTGTTGTGGTAATACTTGATATAAATATGGGTAGGTGTGGAAAGTAGTATGGGCCCGTACTACTGAAAGCACAGGACCCATACGCATATCAAGAAAGTCACAACCCCTAGGGTCGGGTTGGGAGTTGGTTCCTGGGTTATTGGGGAAGCATCTGATTTTATGGCGGTGTATTTCCAGTATAGTGGTTACGAGGCGTGTCGAGGGTGGATCCGAGTCAGGATCGGGATCAGGAGAGGCCGGTCAAGGTGGATCAACGCCACTCGAGGTCATTGGTCAGATGAGTACGGATGAGTTGGATGCCAGGATTCGTGAGATCCTGCATGATGAGACTGCTGCTATGTTCAGGGCGGAGATGCCGGAGATGTTTGGGTCGATCAAGACCGCCATGATTGAGTACTTTGATGAGCGCTATGCAGCTCTAGTAGAGGCGGCTGCCGCGGCAGCTACAACGGCTGTATCAGCGGCAGGGAGTAACCAGTCAAGGTTTTCAGTATCGGGACTTCGATAATACGAAGCCTCCTACTTTTGATGAAGTTCAGGATCCGATCATTGCTATGAGGTGGTTTTCGGACGTGGAGGGTTGTTTCTTCACGTGTTCATGCCCTGCAGATCAGAGGGTGAGGTGTGCTTTGAACCTTTTAAGGCTCGGGGCACAAGATTGGTGGAGGTTGACTACGGGATCGTATTCTGATGCGCAGCAGGTTGCGGTTACATGGTAGCAGTTCCGGAAGATGTTCACCACCCGTTATCTTCCACAGGTTGAGAAGGAGAGGTTGGCTCAGGAATTCTTGGAACTGGAGCAGGATTCGGAGTCGGTGACTGAGATCATCAGGATGTTCATTGAGAGGGCAATGTTTTGCCCGGAGTTTGTTTCGGAGCAGCGTCAGATGTTCCGATATCTGAGTATGCTAAAATGGGATATCAGGCAGTTTGTGTCTACGCAGAGGTGCGGGACCTTACTGGAGTTGTAGGCGGCCGCTCTGTGGCGTGAGTTGGAGATTGAGTTACAGTTGAGAGAGCAGAGGCAAGCCCCGGTGCAGTCGCAGCCGGCGCCGAAACGGTCCAAGACCGTTGATTCCAGGTTGGACAGTCAGAGCGGCCGTACTTGTGAGAAGTGCGGGAAGGGTCATACCGGGGTTTGTAGGTCCGGTGGTGCATGCCGCAAGTGCGGAAGAGTGGGGCATTATGCGAGGGATTTCCGTCAGTCAGCCCTAGTTCAGGATATGAGGATCTGTTATCAGTGCCATCAAGTTGGCCACATGAGGGCCAACTGTCCACAGCGAGTTTCCAGGCCAGTGCAGGTTCCAGCACCGGCTACTTTGAGGACTACTGGCAGGGGCCAGGGTGGAGCGGAGCCTCCGAGGGCTCAGGGGCGCATTTTTCAGCTCACAGCAGAGGGGGTCAGGGTAGAGCCGGATGCGGTTGCGGGTATGTTTTCGTTTCATTGTTGTCTGGCTATCTAGTTATTTTGTGGTGCTGTATTTTATTCTCCGTTCTGCGTGTTTTTGGGTTGGTTGAAAATAATAGTAGTCAGGAGTGTAAGTGGTCAGCATCCAAGGGATTGATGGTCAGAAATTGGTTGTATGGTCTTGAGGTCAGGTATAGCATTTGCTATTTGAGGAGTGTTCAGCTGAGGATCGAACTCCCTTAGAGTTCGAGATGCGCAATGACGGGAGGTGATTTCGCGGAGGTTGCCCGTTTTAGAGGAAATCAGTTCATGGATAAGGGGAATATGTTGAGTGAGGTTGTTTAAGTGATGCCGGTTGGGCCACCGGTGGTTGGAAGTCAGTGCTCTAAGTAGGGAGATTGGAAAATTCTCAGGAGGATCGAAATACGTTAGAGTTTGATTAGCTGTTTGGGATCCAACAGTGTTTTAGCCGGCCAAGAGTGTGGGCCGGTATGAGTAAGTGACAGATCGATGGGGCGGAGTACAGACCAAGGATTCTGGGTAGGGTGATTGGTTGTTGTGAGGCCTAGGATTAGGCCGGGATCTGGGTATATGGAATGGAGTTGGAGTTCGGAACCCCTAAAGGGCTGAAACAGTATGTGTGGAAGAGATTCCCAAGAGGAACGGCTTGGGATGATGTATGGATAGGTTGAGCGGACCGAGGAGACTGAAGGCCGGAAGGCGTATCAGTCAGGCCGGAAGGCATACCGGTCAGGCCGGAAGGCGTACCAGTCAGGCCGAAGGCCTGGTAAAACGGTCCAGTCATGCTGGAGACTCCGTATGCACTAGTGGATCTGTATGCGGAGAATGGGTGATTATGTCGCCATGCAATAGCAAACAATAGGTCTGGCCCCGAGTATTGATCATGTTAGTGAAAGGTGGGGTATGGACTTCGTTAGTCCTTGTGATCAGATTCAGATGTGATGCATAAAATAGCGATTACTCTACAAGGGATAGTGTAGAGTGGAGTGTGAGCACCGTGGCACTTGTCTGAGGTGGAAAGGTTGGCAAGTAGATTTCCTTGGATAAGGAGAAAGGAAAGGTAGGTAACTTCGGGAGGGAGTGTTGGATCACAGAAGTAAAAGCAGTAGTGAGAATGGATGATTGAGAGTATTTCAATTATGGTTGTTGAGCACTGGGATTGTACCAGTGGTATGGAAACACATCTGGGTTAGGTGTCTGATGAGGTGACGGAAGGATTTCCGGTAGTGTAGAACCAGAGGAGTTCAGAAGGGATGCAAGGAGGGAGCCTTGGAATTTCTGTATGGTTGTAATTAGGAGGTGATGTATGTAGTAATAATTCATCCCAGGGATGTTTGGAGGTATCGTCAGCGTGTCGGGATTTCCACCCCGAGGATGTTAGAGCAGGTTCAGCATGCGTATGTGATTGCAGGGGAGAGCTCATGGGAGTTGCTCGGGAGCTGAAGGATGTACCATCCTGTCAACTCGGAAAGAAACAAGTTGGATTCGAAAAGGAAAGTGGGATAAGTCCCAGAAGTGAATTCGATAAAGGATATGCCAGTCGAGGAAGGGGGTAGCAGCCTGGTACCGGGTCAGGACCCGATGGTTCAAGGTGATGCCTAGCTTTGTGTAGGGCAAGTGATGGTTGTGATCTGGGGTGGTGAATGTATCCTCGGGTGATCTTTGGATTAAGGAGGGTTGTTAGCAGAGAAAGAAGTCGGTGGCCGGCTTGAAGTAGTTGTTGTGACTCTGTGAGAAAGAGTTGGTCTTTATAGGGGTTTGATAGCAGTGTTTGGAAGAACCTAAGTTGATTGGGAAGTCGGAGTCCGCAGTGCGAGGGTTTGTTCTAAAGTGTATGCAGCAGTAGGCTTCGAGGACGAAGCCTAATTTAAGTGGGGGAGAATTATAACATCCCGTAAATTCAGAAGTATAGTTGAAGGGCTAAAGTGTAAATAAGAAGGTCGACTTGGCGAGTCAATGGGTAGACTCGGTGAGTCGATTCACGATTTGGTCATGTGCTAAGTGACTGACTCGGTGAGTCAGCGGCTAGACTCGACGAGTCAGTGCTGGAATGAGAAAACCCTAATCCTGAGAGTTGTGCCCTATATAAAGAACATAACACTTCTTCCCCAGCCTCTTTACCTTCCCTTTGAGTTCCAGAAACCCTAGATTCGTGTGAGCTTTCCTTGGTGAGAGATTAGAGCCTTGGAGGAGGTAATCTTGGAAGGAAATTGAAGAGCAAGAAGATTGGAGCAAGGGGCTTTGCAGAGATTTGGTTCATTATTCAGTTGGAGCTTTCTTTTGAGGTAATAATCTATTGCTTAAGCTCCTTGATCCTATGTTGCTTGACTTTTGGGGCATTTCTAGAGTTAGTTCGGGTTTGAAGGTTGGATCTGAGGTTGCTACCTCAGATTTGGACTTGAGATGGCTTAGATCTCTTTGGATTCACGTAAAGTTTGCCACTTTACGTGATGGGTGGCTTGTAGGAGAGTAGATCTATGGATTGGAGCCCCTGCATGGCTTGGAAAGCCACTGTATGGATTAAGAACTAGAGGTACTCGGCGAGTCACATGGGTGAACTCGGCGAGTTGGATGAAGATGAGCAGGAACTCGACGAGTTGGAAGAACAACTCGGCGAGTATGTTGAATGTTGCCTTGGACTCGGCGAGTCTGTTCTTGGACTCGCCGAGTCTGGTCGTGGAGTCCTAACCTTTTTGGGTTGAGCTGTGAATCAGTGAGTCGAGGGACGACTCGGTGAGTTGAGTGAGAAAGGACTCATAATTGTTGGACTCGGCGAGTCTTGGGGCGACTCGGCGAGTTGAGTCGTGGATTGGGAGTTCTGAGTATAGGGACTCGACGAGTCAGCGGGTTGACTCGGCGAGTAGAGTCAGTCAGGAAGGTTGACTTTGACTGAGGACTTTGACTTTGACCAAGAGTTGACCAGTTGACTTCCAGGAGTATTTTTGGTAATTGTTGGCAATTATTTTGAGTTCAGTGATTTGGTGTTGGCTAGTGGTTGATTAATGTTAAAAATGTTAAAATGGAGATTGTTATTGGTAATGTGGTATAGACCCCTTGTAATTAACTTTGTTTATCTTAGTGCATAACTAAAATTTGATTGTAGATTTCAACATTCTAGAACTGAATGATAGCTATGGTTTCTTGAATAGTGCAGGAGCATCCAAAATAATCGGAGTTTTGTTCATAGAATCATGTGTTCATCAAAAGAGCCACCAGCAGAAACAGGACTCACATCAAAAGCATTTGAATCACTAAAGATTGGGTCGACAACCATCATAGTGGAAGCTCCTAAAATGTTGAAGACAACAACTTCTTTGCCTTGTCTCATAGTTAATTCTGGTTTAGTTAAAGCCGATGATGTTGGCAGGTAAATTTTTTACCGAACATCTATAACAAGAGAGCTTTTTGATGGAATTTTTTCATTATAAAACTTTAAATGAAAAAGCTCCTTTTATCTCCACAAGAGAAATGTTATTTTAGTTTGTTATTTGTGGGGACCTTGTATATGTTGTCTATATACAATTGGTTGAAAACCCATGGATCCACCAAATCATTGAAAGTTTGTTAATTAACAAGCTCTTTGAAAAAGATCATCCAATAACTTCTTCAATTTTCTTGAGTTTTTTTTTTACATGAAAAAGCTCCTATTGTGATGTTCTTATTAACTAGTTATTTGGTTTCATTTCATACCTTTTTTTAGTAAATATCATATATGCTTAATAAATTTGGAACCAGTTAAAAGGGTGAAGGCTATCTTTAATTAATATACACTAACAGAGACAATGGCGCGTTTAAAGATAAACTTATGAATTTCATGAACAAAAGTTGATCTATATTATAACAAAATTTTTTGAAGGTTGTGTTCAAAGTAAACAACTGATTTTGATATTTCCATTTCTACACTATACTTAAGAGTATTACTTTGATGGAAGATCATAGACACATCCTCAAGATTATAGTTTTTGATTAAAGTAAAAAACTAAGAATACACGTTTGATATATAAGAAATAAGGAATATTATCACCATAACTATAGCATGCCACCGATGTTATCTTGTTTAATGCACCTTGTGTGCAAGATTTTATTAAGGCATTGTATTTTTTTTTCGAATTTACCATTTATAGCATCGTACTTTCAATTTTTCTTTTTGTTTTTTAGACATTATTCTTTGAAAATTTTATCAACTACTTTGTAATTTGTAGAGATTGATCCTTCGGTCACAACTCACACGGGAGGGACAATGAGTTTTTAACATCATTATAAATGGTGATAACATGTTTCAAGAGATTAATATTGTCAAAATGAGTGGAAATATTAATAGTGCTCTTGGGCTAACAGTCCATGTTAGCAGGAGAAGTTTTACAATAATTTTGCAGCTTGTAAAAGGTAGTCATACCAGTCATACCATAATCAGTGCCATAGAGACCATAGAGATCTTTGAAATTGTTAGAGCTGAGGCCAATACTTCAATTGATTAAGGTACTTTTAAAACATTTCTTGGAATTTGAAGCTTTGAAAAGGATTCTTATGAAGTAAAAATTATTTCTTTATGTTATAGTAAAAGCTTTGCAAAAATTGAAGAGTTCTTTTCAGTTGGAATGGCGGTCCATGTGTTCCACAGCAGCATCCATGGAGTGGAATTGGGTGATGAATAAGGCTGGAATGCAATCAGGAATGGATTGCAGGAATAGGGGATGTGACATCAAGTACGGTTGTTTATGGTGTATTAGATACTAATATATGGTGTATTAGATTCTTTTATGTGATGGTTGTAATACTATAGATAAGATACATATAGAGTACAGTTAAATTACAGGTAATTGTTGGTTGTTAATACTAAGTAATGGGATTTAACATTTAACTTACGTAAGGTATAATTTAATGTAACAATGTGATTCGATAAGGCCTTTGGAAACATAAAGTGTATATTATTATATACTCATAAAGAAAAGAAAGGTATATGGATGGATAATCGTTCTAGCACTATATTTCCTAGAAAATTTGTCCATCCTAAGTATATTTATCAAATGTGTATAAAAAAAATAATTGATTAAATGTGTACAACTGCAAAACTTCATTATTCTCACAAGTTTAATTGTCGACGGTGAAGTCGTCGGAAATCGAGGTAACCTTTAATTACAGATCATAATGGTACTTTTTTTAATACTTTAAGTAAGTTTAATGGTCACACATGTACAAAAAAAAACTGACAAAATATGAACAAATGTGATAGATGGTTACCCTCATAAGACATTTTCCCTTTTTATTATATACCCTTAATGGTTATTATTAACTTTTTTTGTTAAAAAAAAAAAATAAATAAATAAAAAAAAAAAAAAAAAAATCTTAAATATAATTAGAAAATATAACTGGGACTTGAAAACACAACACTAGAAAATGGCCACCCATGGTGTTGGTGGCAATTTTATTGATAACTGGGACTTAAAAACCCATGCCAAATACAAAAATGAAACATGGTTTTAAATGACTATCTATGTTCGTCTTTTTTGAAAATTAGCAATGAACACCACAACCTTCACATAAACCCAATCTTCGAAGCTATCAAGAAACATAAAAAAAGCAAATCTTCCACGACGGTTGAGAAGCAAAGCACCACATGCTATCCAAAATCCAATAGTGAAACCAATGGCCCCACCAATATAGAACCATACATCAAGTTCGTCTATACCTTCACCCTCACTTTCACCAATGATGTGTTGTATTCCCGATTCTTCATCTCCAGGACATTGTTTGGTAAGGGGAGGTCCGCATAGCCCTAAGTTCCCTTCGTATCTTGAATGGTCAAAGGACTGAAGTTGTGTGCTGGATGGGATTCTCCCTGACAAGCTATTATCTGAGACGTCTAGGTAATTTAGCCAAGTCATTTGAGACATGCTTGATGGTATTTCTCCTGAAAACTTGTTTCTAGATAAATCCAAAGTTAAAAGATTTTTCATCTCACTGATGTTGCATGGAATCTTTCCAAATAGAGCATTCTTTGATAGGTTGAGTGCAATCAGTTCATCAAGATTGGTAATCTGATATGGGATTTCCCCTGTTAAGTTGTTGCTTGACAGGTCGATGCTCCTCAACAATACCATATTACTTCTGACGAATTCACGTTCAACTCCTTGCCACTGGATCATCACATGGTCAACATTATATGAATATCTTCCTAATGAAATGCCACGATCTAAATTCTGTAGTTGAGAGACTCTTTGTTGCACCATGATCGTAAGATTACTCAAACATGAGGGGATGCTTCCATGGAAATGGTTCACAGACAAGTCTAGAATTTGAAGACTTGCTAATTGACATAATTGTAAAGGGATGCTTCCAGAGAAGTTGTTTGACCTTAATGTAAGAACATACAACCCAGATAAGCTTTCCCCGATCCAAACAGGTAAATTACCAGAAAACTTGTTGGCCCCCAAATTCAATGACTTTAAGCTCGTGCAATTCTTAACAGACAAAGGAAATTCTTCAGAGAAATCGTTCTTGTATAAATCCAATGCCTCGAGGTTAATCATAGATGCAACAGAGGCAGGAAGCCTTCCAGATAGATTATTGTGTTCTAAATTAAGAACTTTTAGTTCTTTGAAATGCCACAAACAATCTGGAAGTTGCCCGCTTAGAGAGTTATGGGAGAGGTCAATAATAAATAAAAAGCCATGGACACCCTGGCATAGAAAGGAGATTCCTGCGGTGAATTTGTTTCGGGAAAGATTTAGTAATCTCACAGTAGAAGAGACATTAGTTATGGGACCATCAAAGCTGTTGGAGCTTAAATCTATCTCTGAATAGCTGTCAAAGTTTGATGACAGATCTGGTACTTTCCCAGTTATGTTGTTGGAAGAAAGGTTCAAGAATGTTAACTGGGAAGGCCAAGTGTCCCAAAACTCGAGAGGAATTGTATCTGAAATACCCGAATTTGCAATATCAAGATAGGTGAGATTTTTGAATGTTTGAATCCATTTGGGGAAGCGAGGCCCTAGCTTGCAAGAGCTCAGAGCAATATATTTTATATCAGAATGGTTTGGCATGTTATCTGAGGAAGGAAATCCTTGGAGTGAGTTTCCGGAAAGATCAAGATTTTGAAGTTTGGGAAGTTCCCACAGGTTCTTACTTATAGTTCCTTTTAACTGATTTTCAGAGAGGTACAGATCTGTTAGGGATGTAAACTTTTTGATCTCATCAGGCAATGACCCTGTAAATTGGTTGTTGGAAGCAGACAACCATTGTAATGAAAGCGATGTGCATCCAGACAAGTTGTTGAGAAAATCAGGAAATGTGACAACAGCAAAGTTGTTATCGAAGTACAAATCTTCCAAACCACAGAGGTTCCCAAGATATTTGGGTATCCCATCTAACATGTTGTGAGTGAGAGAAAGAGAACGAAGCTTATTGCTGGTTAATGGGAGCAACCAATGATACATGGATGAGGTCAGACTGTTGTTTCTAAGATGAAGGGATTCCATAGATGAAGAAGAGTTGATAATTTTTGAAGAATATGGATAAATGACCTGTGACAGCTCACATCCCGATAAACTTAAAAGCAAGAGTTTCGGGAGACTCAGAATTACATCACCCCAATGATTTGTTTTGGCCAGTGAAATCCCATCCATTTCAAGTACCTCCAAATGAGATAGAGGAGACAACCACTCAAGGTTCTCAACTCTACACCTTCCAACATTTGAAAGTAAAAGCAATTGCAAGTTGGTGAGGTTTCCGAACTCTGGAGGAATGGTTCCATAAAGAGAGTTAGATGAAAGGTCAAGGTACCATAATTCAGTCAAGGGACCAATGGATCTCGGAATGGTTCCATTAAGATTATTTTCGCCAAGGAGAAGGCATCTTAATTGAGTCAAGGAACCAATGATCGCAGGAATGGTTCCATGAAAAGAATTGAAGGAAAGATCAAGGCGATTCAAGTAGGTTAAGTTAACCAATGAATGGCTAATCTCACCTACAAGACCAAAGGACATCAGATCAAGATCTGTGACATGACTTGTTTGGTTGTTACACGTCACTCCACTCCATTGACAGCAGTTGTCTTGTTCAGCTGTCCACGTAGAGAGGCGATCAGAAGGGTCTTGAAGGAGAGATTTGAAATGAAGGAGACCATCTTTCTCCTTCTCAAAACACTTGTCATCTCCTCCTCCCACTGCTGCCAATTGGTTGGCAGTTGCAGTCTCAAGACAAAGCAAGATAAGTGAGAATATTATAAAAACACAACGATGCATAATGTAACTGCAAATCTTGCTGATTTTTTGTTTGTGATGAAAATTTGAAGATGCCTCATGAAGGTTTATATAGTGCTGCCAACTGAGAAAATGAAGGATTCAATAATTCTCGTAAGAACGGTAGCCGGTAGGAACATAATTCTTTTTTCCTTCTTTTTTTTCATCAATATGAAAACATTTTTTAAGGCTAAAAAATAATAAATTCTGGATTTTTTTTAATAAAGTTTTTACACTAAAAATTAAAAATCAACACAATATTCATCAACGAAATAAAGTGCTATAAAACACTTCCTATAGCAACATCGATAGATATCTATTTTTACGTCATAAAAAAGATATTTTGGAATATTTGTTTTTACTTTTTGAAAAAAATAATGCCCTAATAGATAAAAAAAATTAACAATATTCATCAATGAAAACATTATAATAAAGTAAAGACTTTGTATATCGATAGGGATGTCTATTTGTACAACATAAAAATATATAAATTTGGGTCTTTTTGCTTTTATTTTTTCAAAAAATAATATTATCTTAAAAAATAAAAGATAACAGTGATTAGGCATATTCATCAACAAATGGTTTATTATTTCTCATTTTTACAACTATATTCTTTTCAAAAAAATATATACTAAAATTTATTATTTTTATGCTCTAAAAAAAGATATCAATATATAGAAAAAAAATGTTCAATTCCTACCATTTATCACAAGAATTATCTTTCTTGCGTTTACACACACCTTGTGAGTTGTGATTCGTGTGGAGCATAAAATCTATATTTTCCTTTGAAATAGAACAAAACTATAAGACAAATTAGAAAAGAAGAATTGAAACAAACTGCCCTAAATCAAACACTGTGTGGGGCATAAAGGCCTTATTTTCCTTGAAATAGAACCATTCAAACTATAAGACAAATTAAAAAAAAAAAAAGGACAATTGAAATGGATAGCTAGCCCCCAATCAGATGTTCAAAGACTTTCAGGTCTTTGAAATTTGTATTTTTCCTGTACATATCTTTTTTCATCTTGTGATATCTTTTGGTCCTCATTTTATGTCATACAAATCCCAAAAAACAAACTAATAAATTCAAATACACTAATCATTCAGCAAAAAAGACAAATGGTAAATACTTAATGGGTTAGTGCCTGGAAACAACCATATACAGCTAGCTGTCCAGATCAAGTGCTTAATTATTAAGCCTATTAAGTCATAAAGAATCAACCCCTAATGGCCTAAGAGCTGAGTGATAAATGACGAGTCTCCAGAGAATGTATTGGATAAAATAAGGCTTTTTTTTTGTATTTTGGATTGAATGAACCATTTGAATGAGAGAAAATGACCATTTTACCCTTCTATCTAAAAGTGATGTAGAATAATAAATTGTTGTTTGTTTGAGAACTATTGTGATAGGAAGGCACCGGTCCAGATCCATAATGCCACATCTACGGACCCGATTCAAAGATGGATTAACCTGGCCCAATTAGAGTATCCAAATAC